AGAACAGCCTGTCATAGCTTACCAAGAAGTCTGTAACTATTTACTGAGATATGCTGTACTGAGAACTTGTCCTTCTGCTGTGTCTCTCCCTTAGAGATTAAGAGGAACAAAGAATACATTCCTCTTGACAGACCTCCTATTGAGTGTTTTGTGTATAAAAGGCATTGCATGGTTAATAAACTTGCTACAGTTCCTCGATTGACCTGTAGTCCTCCCGATCCCGCTCTCCTGTCTTTCTTTCTTTTGTCAATTCCCACCTCCCTACCTCAGCCTGGTTCAACCTGTCAGGCTGGCCCTGACACTTATTGGCTGGTGGGCGTGGCTTTTGGTATAGCAGAGGTGTGGTCAATTTGCATGTTTCTCTTTTATTAGATTAGATATGAGCCATGTTTTTTTTAAAGTATATATTATTGATTTTTTCACAGAGAGGAAGGGAGAGGGATAGAGAGTTAGAAACATTGATGAGAGAGAAACATCGATCAGCTGCATCCTGCACACCCCCTACTGGGGATGTGCCAGCAACCAAGGTACATGCCCTTGTCTGGAATCCAACCTGGGACCCTTTAGTCTGCAAGCCAACGCTCTATCCACTGAGCCAAACAGGTTAGGACCATGTTTTCTAATCTATTCAGCCACTCTAATCTATTCAGTGTTTTGACTGGAGCATTTAGTCTATCTACATGTAAGGTTATTATTGACTAGAGGCCCGGTGCATGAAATTCATGCATGGGGGTGTCCCCTCAGCCCAGCCTTTACTCTCTTCAATATGGGACCCCTCGGGGGATATCTGATTGTCGGTTTAAGCCTGGTCCCAGGGATCAGACCTAAACCAGCAGTCAGACAACCTTCTTACAATCCGCGACCACTGGCTCCTAACTGCTCATCTGCCTGCCTGCCTGATTGCCCCTAACTGCCTTTGCCTGCCTGCCTGATTTCCCCAACCTCTCTGCCTGCCTGCCTGCCTGATTGCACCTAACTGCCTCTGCCTGCATGCATGATTGCCCCTAATTGCCCTCCCCTGCTGGCCAGATCTCGCTCCCAACAGTCCTCTCCTTCCAGCCTGATCTCATTCCCAACTGCCTCTGCCTGACTGATTACCCCTGACTGCCCTCCCCTGCCAGCCTGATCTCAACCACAACTGCCCTCCCCTTCTGGCCTGGTTGCCCCCAACTACCCTCACCTGTTGGCCTGATCTTTCCCACAACTGCCCTCCCCTGCTGGCCTGATATCATCCCCAATGGCCTTCCCCTGCCAGCCTGGTCTCACCCCTAACTGCTCTCCCCTGCTGGCCCGATAGCCCCTAATTGCCTCTTCCTGCCTGATCACCCCTAACTGCCCTACCCTGCTGGCTTGATCACTCCTAACTGTCCTCCCCTACCAGCCTGATCACCCCTAACGAACTTTGCCTCAGCCCCCACCACCATGGCTTTATCCAGAAGGAATTCAGATGTCCGGAAGATGGCCGGTCGACCCAGTCTAATTAGCACATTACCCTTTTAGTAGTATACATAGATTACATAGGATAGGATTGCTTAAATGGGGGGCAGGAGCCTTTTTCATCAAGAGGAGATGCTCTCGGCAGACAAAAATACATAATCTCTATATCTGGACTGATAGCCAGCCATATGCACTATACTGCCAAACCAGTTCATTAAAAAATTGAACTGCTTTTTTACACCTTACACCAAACAGCTGTCGCCCTTAAAACCCTTCCTCAGCCCCCACCTAGGTTCTGCCATTGCAGTTCACCCCGGTAGGTCCTGATTGGTCAGTTTCTATGCCAGTCAGAGTCAAAAGCTCCGTCTCCTAGGCAGCCATTGGCTCCTCACACTTCACCTAGATTTGGTTCTGCTTGGTCATTTTTCTATGCCAGTTAGTGTCAAAAGCTCCACCTTCTAGGCAGCCATTGGCTCTTCACACTTCACCCAGATTTGGTTCTGATTGGTCTGTTTCCATGCCAGTCAGCTTCTCCGGGCCTATCAACAGGCCTGATCAGAGAGGCGGGGCTGATCAGCAGCCCCAGAAGAGACTGGAGAGAAAGAGAAGCATGGCTACTGGCCAGGCCCAGAGAGAGAGGCAAGTGCTGATCAACTGCTGCCATGGGGGCTATAGATCAGAATCTGCTTCTTTCTCAAGGCCTCTCTTTGGGCCTGATCCCCAGCCTCCTTGGCAGTCAGTTGCCGTGGCAACCCAGCACTGATTTCTGGTCGGTTGAGCCTTCCTTCAGTCGTTTTGGATGTTACTGACCCTGGGTTTTTATATATTAGGATAGATACTCATTTGTGCCATTGTTATTCTTTGTTCCTGTGTTCCTTCTTGTTGGGGGCCAGATGTAAGCTGGCAAGGTCCTTGTACCGTAGGGGCTAGTAAGGCTGGGACCCTTACCCACACAGTTTTCCCAGACTTGTTTGGATGGCGATTATCAGTAGAATGGGAGTAACATTTGTAGAATGAGAACAGTCTTTCATAGCTTGCCAAGAAGTCTGTAACTATTTACTGAGATATGCTGTACTGAGAACTTGTCCTTCTGCTGTATCTCTCCCTTAGAGATTAAGAGGAACAAAGAATACATTCCTCTTGACAGACCCCCGATTCAGTGTGTTGTGTATAAAAAGGATTGTATAGCTAATAAACTCGCTTCAGTTCATCAAGAGAACTGGGGTCCTCCCGACCCCGCTTTCCTGTCTTTCTTTCTTTTCTCAATTCCCACCTCCCTGCCTCAGCCAAGCTCAACCCTGTCAGGCTGGCCCTGACACCTTCTTTCCTTTCTATTTCTTCTATTTACAACAGTCTCTTTAGTATTTTTTGCACTGCTGACTTGGTGGTGATAAACTCCCTTAGGCTTTTTTTTTCTGTGAAGCTCCTGATTTCTCCTTCAATTTTGAATGATAGCTTTACTGGATAGAGTATTCTTGGATTTAGTCCGTTGCTTTTCATCATTTTGTATACTGCATTCCATTCCCTTCTGGCCTGATGCATTTCTGTTGAGAAATCATTTGATAATCTAATGGGAGATCTCTGCCTCTTTCATGCAACCTTTAAGGTTCTCTCTTTGTTGTTAATGTTTGCCATTGTAATTACAACATGGCTCAGTGTGGTTCTTTTTGGGTTTGTCTTGATTGGGACCTCTGTGCTTGTGTGACTTTTCTCTTCCCTAAATTAGGGGAAGTTTTCTGTCATTATTTCTTCAAATAGGTTTTCTAATCCTTGTCCTCTTATTGTCGTTCTGGCACCCATATTATATGTATGTTACTTCATTTTATGTTGTACCAAAGCTCCCTTAGGCTCTCCTCCGTTCTAATTTTTTTCTCCAATTGCTGTTAATATTGGGTGAGTTTTTCTGCCCTATCTTCTAACTCATTAATTCGGTGATCTGCTTCTTCTAATCTATTGTTGAAACCTTCCATCGTGTTTTTTTTAT